CCTTCTTCCGAGGGGACTCGAGGGGCTGATCTTCGTCCATGGGCTCCGTTTCGGCGGTTTCTTTTTTCTTCCCCTTATGCTGACCACCCGCGCGCTCCTCCGTTCCACGCTTGACCCCATGCTCGCCTCCCCCCGAGCTACGAACTTCGTCCCTCCTGGAGACGACATTTTGACTACTGCGATTGTCGAAGTCAACCTCCCAGGCGGTGAGATGCTCAAGAGCGGACTTTACCGTTTGACCAGTGGTGGGCCGCGAATCCGTAAGAGGGATCTTCTCTGTGATTCTGCCGGCCTGAAGCGGTTCTCCACAAAAGGGGGGCTGCGCAACCGTTTGTTGAGCCAGCCAGAGTCGACCATGATTCGGGCAACTTCGGTGTAGACCCGGCTGGTCTGCGCTCCATTGCCCACCAGCGAAGTGGTTGCCTTCACCAGCCACTGATCGTGCTTGTCCTTCGGGATTTTTGCCTTAGACACCTTGGCTATAGTGTTGGCGTAGACGTGGATATATTTGTCGATGCCGCCCTTCTGGTTATCGGCCTGCCCTTTAACCCACTCGACTAACCCGAGGAGGTAGAACCGGTTGGCTTCGAACCCCCGCCCCACAAAGAGGTTGAATGCCTCGGAGGTTACAATCCGGCGCACTAACCCAAAGACCAGACTGTGGAGTTTGGGGTAGTCGTCAAAGGCTTTGTCGTGTGCCCACCGGAGGCAGTTCCCAAGAACGAACAGCCAATTCGCAAAAGTCTGGGGGGTTAAGCGGTTCTTGATCTCCTCCAAGCACTCCAGGAAAAGCCGGGCGCTTTCCTCGTCGGTGAGAATCGGCGCGGCCGCTGCCGCCAAGGGAACCGAACCCCCTTCGGAGTCAGGTTCAAGTTGTCCCGGTTCTGCTTCCTCAATTGCCAGTATGGCCCCATTTTCCGAGACTCCCTCCGGTTCCGGGTTTACACCTAACCCGTTTTTCTCCCGGCGCGGCGGTGGTGACGAGTCGCTGGAGTCATTCCGGCGCTGATCGTGCTCATCCTTGAGCCGCTTCCCGTCTTTGACCGGTGTATCGTCCATGCGAGAGGAGGCAGTGCGTTTAGTGCCTGCAAAGTGCCGGGAACCAAAATTTAGGGATTGTTGTGTCGGCGGAGGGGCACAAAGCCATGGAGCTTGCGGACTTTGCGGATGGCTTGCTCCAAACGGAGTGTAAGGAAGGGCGGTGCGACGTAATCCCCTTCGAGAAAACGCGTGAGTATGAGGCGGGGGATGGGCCGGACGCCATCCACGACCCGAGTTTCCTGCAGGTACTCCCTGACGAATTCCAACCGGGGGAAATACTTGAAAATCTCGCGGGAGGTGCGAGCCCAAGTTTGCCCTTTTTGGTCTCTTAAAACTCCTTTTTTGTCCCGCATTCCGGGGAGCCACCCTGCAAAACTGTAGGGCCCTTCCCAACGGAACCTGTGCCCCTTGATTGTGCCCGGCCTTCGCATGAGCACCCAATCCCCCTTTTTGAGTTCGCTCGTGCGGGTCTTGCTGGTGGCGTGCCATCGCACAAAATTTCGTCTCTGCACAATAGCGGCACCCAAAATTCGAGCTTTAGCCATCGACTGTGCTTCCTGAATTGCTCGGTGACGCGCGGCGGTTTGTTCTTGGGTTTCATTCTGAGTTAGGTTAGGACGAACCAGTCCTTCCCGAGTTGGTAAACTTGTGAGTTCTATGGGCAAAAGAGGTGAGCGTCCGTACAGGCACTGAAAGGGTGACATCTGAATTGTATCCTGAATGGTGGTTCAGAAATCAAAGGCAATACCCGAGAGCCGGAGATGCCACTTGGCAGGATGTTGGTCGCACACCTTTCGCAAACTGGACTTGAAAATCTGCACCATTCGCTCGGCCATTCCGTTAGCCTGCGGATTCCTAACCCCAACCGGAACGGAATTTAAACCCCAATCACGTATCAAAGCTTGGAAATGCTTTTCGAATTCGGAACCCCGACCAGTTACGACTTCAAAAGTTCCAGCATGGCGGTGCAAAACCTCTCGCAGGTAACCAGCTGCCATCTCTTTCGAGTCGTTTCTTTTCATTGGCCAGACTTCCACCCACTTCGTGACAAAGTCAACAGCAATCCCCACAAATTCAAAACGTTCAGGTCCGGCTGGTTCGAAGGGGCCGGCAGTATCAAGATGGACCCGGAAAAAAGGAGCAGTAGGAGGTGTTGGCAGCATATCTCGGTCGTTTCGAGGAGCTTTTCCTGCTTTTTCTTTCTGACATCCATCACAACGCTTCACCATCTCCCGCACAAAAGAGGTAAGTTGTGGAAAGAAGTAGCGCTCCTGAACTTTGCACCGGGTTTTTTCAGCGGAACCCGGATAATGACCTTCCCCTCTATGGATATCATCTACAGCTTGGAATCTTTCCTCGCCCACAGAACTCGCCGAGCGTCTGCACCTTTGACCATAATCGGTCCCCTCGAATCAGGAATCAAGCGAAAATTGCCTTCTTGAAGTTTCTGAAGCGGCGCTGAACGGAATCGACTCGGGGTGAGAGAGATATGGGCTGGTGAGACGATATACGAGGAGTAGAATCCAAGCTGAAGATAGCTGTTGAGTGATAGCTCTCTAAGCGATTGGAGTTCGGGGAGACCAAAGGGTGTCCAGCGGCCAATTGCTCGCGTCACGTCTTCGAGGGAATGTTCAGAATGAACTGTCGGATTCGGATTCGACTGTGACTTGGCCCCTTGCTGGTCCCCT